ATTAGTATTCACATCCCTAAATCAGTACTTGGTGGAAGCATCTTTGGCAGCAATTACAGCTATGACCCTTTTTGGATCGGTCTCTATCAAGTTTTCACAATGGGATGGTGTAGTATTTGCTCCCTGTTCTTGGTAACATCGCTCTAATTCTGACAAGTTCGTTGGGGATCGTTGATGGATTCACTTTCTTCTTTTGAAACCACTCCACTGTCTCTTTGGTCATGTGAGTCGGGGTCACTGTCCTGCTGAAATGTGAATTTTCGCCCCAGTTTTAGATTTGTGGCTGATTCAAGCAGGTTTTCTTCTAGGATTCACCTGTTCTTTGCATCATCCATTTTCCCCCTCAATCCTGACAAGCTCCCCCAGTCTCTGTTGATGAGAAGGATCCCCATAACATGATGGTGCCACCACCATGCTTAACAGTTGGGGTGGTGTTGATTGGGTGGTGCTATGTTGGGCTTGCGCCAGACGTAACGCTTTGAATTTAGACTAAAATCGTCTATTTTTGTCTTGACTGATCAAAAAACCTTCTGCCACATGGCTGCAGTATCATTTACATGCTTTGTTTTAAATTTCATACAAGATTTAAGATGATTCTTTTTCAGTAATGACTTTTTTCTTGCCACTCGCCCATATAGGCCAGCTTTGTGTATTGACCAGGATATTATCGATGTATGAACACTGACTCCCATCTCAGACATGGAACTTCGCAAATCTTTCAAAGTCATTGTTGGCTTCACAGTGGTATCCCTAACCAGCTTCCTGCTTGCTTGGTTTGGAAGGACGGCCTGATGTGGGTATGACGCACATTCCACTTCACAATGATGGACTTCACCGGAGTCAAAGAGATAACCAGTGACTTTTAAGTTATCCTGCAACCTTCTCCTGACCAGTGCTTATTATCCTGCAACCTTCTCCTGACCAGTGCCTTTTAAACTATCCTGCAACCTTCTCCTGACCAGTAACTTTTAAACTATCCTGCAACCTTCTCCTGACCAGTGCTTATTATCCTGCAACCTTCTCCTGACCAGTGACTTTTAAACTATCCTGCAACCTTCTCCTGACCAGTGCTTATTATCCTGCAACCTTCTCCTGACCAGTGCTTATTATCCTGCAACCTTCTCCTGACCAGTGATTATTATGCTGTAACCTTCTCCTGACCAGTGACTTTTAAACTATCCTGCAACCTTCTCCTGACCAGTGCTTCTCTAACACTTTATCCCTGACTTGTTTGGAAAGCTCCTTGATCTTCATGGATGGTTTATCGTATCACTATGTGAGTTGTGGCTTGAGTAGATACATTTGCTCTGAAATCAAGTTGAACCATTGTGAATACTCACAGACGGAGGTCATTACACTAATTGTTTGACCTTTCAAACCAATATTTTGCAATAGGGTTGCCATAGCAAAGGGGTTGAATACTTATGCAATTGTGAATATTCTAATTTTCTTTGAAAATCTAACTTACTTACATAATATCAGCGTTTTTGTTTGAGCTTTCTCAGTTTGGAGTAAATTGTATAGATTCTAAATAGAAAGTCTCGTTTGAAAGTTTCATGATTGTAAGCTCAGACAGAGACACTATAAATCCCTTTACACGAGATTAATTAAATCTTTCGTTTCAAAAATCCAATGAAAAAAACTACAATTTTCTTTTTTTTCAACAAGAAATGTGAGGCGAATCTTTAATGTATTCACAGTATGATGTAATACTTGGATAAAAACAACTAAATATTCTCTTGTGGTATTCGATACAATAGTATAAACAAAAACATGTTTTTTGACAAACTTCTCCTTTCACAGCTAAAACTATCCATTATCTAATAGCTTTTGTTATCTCTAAATCTATAAGTTACGAGTTGTTATTGGGTTTGTTTGTAGTTAAGCACAAAGCAACACAATGGGCCATCTGTGCTCTGTCCACCACGAGTATCGAAACCCCATTTCTAGCGATATAAGTCTGCAGAGATACCGCTGTGCTACTGGGGGGGGCTGATATTGGGAATAGCAAAACTAAGAAGAAACTGGGACTATAAATGAAATGACTGTTCCTACTATTACACCTCTAATGTAATTAGATGAGGTGATCAATTGATGTAAGTCTGTAATTAGATCAGATGATCAAGGGTACGGGTTTGGGTTTAGATCAGCAGATGAAGGGCGTGGGTTTATAGTTAGGTCAGAAATATTAGGCTTCGAGGCTTGTGTGTAGATTGTAAAATTCTATACTCCGCCTCAATACAAGTAATTTAAAAACATCAGATGTTAAACGTTTTCAGTTTCATTCATTGCAAGATTTACTTTATCTCTAAAGAACAATTTTTCAGCATTTCGTCAAATCCTTTACATTAATACCGTCACTAAACCACAGTTTCTCGCATTTCGTCAAATCCAAGTCTGGTGCTTCGTTTAACAACATAATCGCAGGTTGTTTTTTTTTACACACTCGCCGTTTCGGCTTCACCTACCACGATTACTAAACATTCTGTTCGTTAGTACTCGACCTTGTCTGTTGTTTGGGATGACGTGTTACTTAAATGTAGGGACTGTATGATGAATCATGATAAGCCGTAGCCATAGAAACCGTTCCTGATAAACGTACTCCAAGCTGACCCGCTTGACAAGGCCGTTCCTTGTTGGCCGTCGAGTATCATATAGTTTAACAACAGCTGAAAAAACCGCTATGATTCATCCTAATCTTCTCTCTCTCTCCAGTCTCTGTCTAAAGCTAGGTCACTAATATCGGGCCTCGTGTAAAATAAGCCAACTAAATAAATTGGGTATTGAATAGACTGATAAAAAATTAGGAACGTATGGCGGCAAAATAGCGATAATACTGTCCGTGAAGTATGCATATGATAACAATTTCAATAAGTTGTGTCCTTACTAACACTTTTTAGATCGCTGGAGTTCTGTCTTCAAACGCTTTCGTTTTGACGGGTTACCTAGTACAAGATTCTCATAATATCACTGTCACGGCCTTAAAATCTGTTGTAGATAATTCCTTCAAAGCTTCGTTTACGTTTGCGACAGTCTTGATACTACCTCTGTAGGCTTAACCTACTTCAAACGTTCCGCAAGGTATTTGCATTTTGTGCTTATGATAAAGCTACTAAGGCTATCTTTCGCCGTCTCAAGTTTTCAATTACTGACCAGAGGGAAAACAGTCCGTTAGCAGTACCATCAACGCTGAATAACTGACTGTTAGTCTTATAACGCATCAACAGCTTTAAAGTGCGGGGTATATTCTCTGGTATTTTACAGATTCGAACCCGGCTCGCTATCTCTGAAATTCAGAGCTCCACGACAGGGCCGAGCCCTCCACCAAGTAAGGAATATTGAAGTTAGTTGCGATTGGTTAATTGCTATAAGTATTTAAAAAAATAAATAAATGAAGCTAAGAAAAATTACAGATTTTATGACCCTGATCGGCCTATTCAAACCAACAGTGTCATGTAAACATATATGAGCATAATAATGAACAACGTGTCAGATAATCAGGGCTAACTTTAAGTTTCCTGGTGGTTTATTGTACGCGGCAGAAATATGTAACTACTTCATAATTAACAGCAACTTTTACAGCAGGTAAGTTCTGATTCTAATAATTACAATTATCAAAATTAGTAATAGTCTACTGTAAAAGTCGCTGTTGTATTTTTGAAATAATTATTCAGTTCAGTAGGTTCCAACAACTTCCCTACCTCCCCAAGAACAAGTGATTAGACAGACCAGTTTTCAAGTGGTGTTTTATATAGATATGATAAAAATATTATATAAGAAATACATTTACCATGAGGGAAGGATGGAAATAAGAAATAGTTAATAAATTTAACTAAATAGGTAGTTGTAACAGAAGAAGTAACTGATCAAGAAGTTGTAACTGAAGGAGTAACTGATCAAGAAGTTGTAACTGAAGGAGTAACTGATCAAGAAGTTATAACTGAAAAAGTAACTGATCAAGAAGTTGTAACCGAAGAAGTAACTGATCAAGAAGTTGTAGCTGGAGGAGTAACTGATCAAGAAGTTGTAGCTGAAGGAGTAATTGATCAAGAAGTTGTAGCTGAAGGAGTAACTGATCAAGAAGTTGTAACCGAGGGAGTAACTGATCAAGAAGTTGTAACCGAGGGAGTAACTGATCAAGAAGTTATAACTGAGGGAGTAACTGATCAAATAGCTATAACTGAAAGAATTCTAACTAAAAGAGTAGCTGACCAAGAAGAAACTACTTAAAACGGGTAACAAGAAAGAATCTGATTATTAAACCAACGAGAGATTAGAACAAGCTACAGAGTTTATTGGATCTGCTGGGTTTCGGACGGAGCACTGGACACGCATCCTTTCATCAAAAGGATCCTACCCAAGAGTGGTTCATCTCTTTTTTCTAAGAAGTGAATGTGTATTTTTTTTTTTTTTTTAGGGGCTAGTAAATGCCATGCCGGATGCCAGTTTAGACGAACTGCATTATGGGTGAAGCCCTGGATGAGCTACAGATGTTTTGGTTTGCGCGGGTACAAAATACTGGCGTCCAAGGTCAGAAATCACGATTCTTGTACCCAAACCCACAAAAGGTAGGGACAAAAACTGACATAATAAAGTGGATTATAACACGTAAACTGGCTTGTTGTAACCCAAATCTTTCACACAAGTAAAAAACAAAACTTCTTTGTTTGCCGCTTTATTTCTTTGTGACTCTAACTGGGAAAGGAACATTCTCCATTCTTTCATTTAACACAGAAAAGTTAAAATTGATGAAAAGCATGCGAAATTCAACAACATGAATTTAAAAAAAAAATCGAGCTCCATGTATGAAATTTCTTTGCACACTAAACCGTATGGAAAAGAAACGTTTGCCGTTTCCAAGGGCAGGGGGGAATACCCCCTCTGGGAGATCCTGGTGTTTGTATAGCAGGAGATATTAATAGAACAAGACAGAGCAGAGAGAGAGGTTCCAAAAGTAGCATCCCTGGATCTCCCTGCGAGCTAGTCCTGCCTTATAAGGACAAGGTTCAATCTGGTCCGGAGGTAGACAGGCTGTTTCAGCAGTCCGAGGCCGGCAACTTACCAGCTGAAGCGCAGTGAGAGAAACAAACTACCGAGTCACGTTTTGCTGAGCTTCGGTCCATTAGGGATGTTGAATTACAGTTAGGGGTGGGTCCTAGACTCGGCTCGGATTTATAACGTCCTGTTGCACGTGCCCGCTGACGCACACTTCACGAGCGACGTCTGCGAGTGCACTGGACAGAGTGATAAGAGAAAAACTTGGAACGACGACAGAGCTCCGAGAACCGACTTCTCGTTGACTTGTGGGATGACTGTACCAGGCGTATATCTCGTTTCTAATGTTAACGTGGTCTGACTGATTCGTGTGGATACAAGAAAATGAATCAAACTAACTTTTTTTTCTGAAGTTTTGCTTTATGTTGTGAGTTGATAATTATGCTTACTTATTTTTCGTTTAAAAGTAAAATAGTTAAGTTTCGGTTGAAGTGTGTAGAAACTGTGATAACTTAAAGTGAGTTTCTTATGACAAACTTCGCTCAGTCCTCGAAACTTTCGTACTTTAGTAACGTTAGAAAATTTTAAATGTAAAAACTATTTGATAACTTATAGAAACAACTACTTAGCAGATTTGAGTATTTAGAAACTTGTAAGTTTGTTAACTTAAAGGAGACTAATGTTAATTACCATGGAAACCAGAGAGCTTAATAGCTTTGGAAAAGTGAGTATTAGTTGCTATAGAAACTAGGGTTTTAATAGCTTTGGAAAAGTGTGTATTAGTTGCTATAGAAACTAGGGTTTTAATAGCTTTGGAAAAGTGAGTATTAGTTGCTATAGAAACTAGGGTTTTAATAGCTTTGGAAAAGTGTGTATTAGTTGCTATAGAAACTAGGGTTTTAATAGCTTTGGAAAAGTGTGTATTAGTTGCTATAGAAACTAGGGTTTTAATAGCTTTGGAAAAGTGAGTATTAAATTACTATAGAAACTAGGGTTTTAATAGCTTTGGAAAAGTGAGTATTAGTTGCTATAGAAACTAGAGTTTTAATTGCTTTGGAAAAAATATTAATATTTAAAACCAGTAATAATTGGTAAAACTCCATAGTTACAGAAAACAAAAAAAATTGTTTCTCAAATATTTCGTTTATTTCTGACAACATTTCGCAAGTAAAATGAAACGTTAAGTGAAACGGTGGTAGTAATAAGTGGAATAACTGTGAAACGTCCAATGTGTTAGTTGTTATAGAAATCAGGCGTTTCATACCTTTGAAAAAAAATCACGTATTAGTAAAAAAATAGGGTACTGGTGGATTTTAAAAATGGCTGCTGTGCAAGTTGTATCAAATTCTAGGAACTTTCTATTCTGGAGAAGACGAATGATCAAATCTAGGCTTCCATACAACAGGGATAGAAAGAACGGCTTCAGGTAAAAAACGAATATCCCATTCCTTTGTTTAATTTACAGAAGTTATCCAGTTCATTCTGTAAGTTTAAAAACTTTTAGCAGACGATTTGTTGTAAGTACGCAGACATGCCACTTATATATCTCTCTTGCCTAAATAGGATTGTGTTTTTCTCTTTATCTGAAGTGAACTATTCTTATCTAATATATATGTACATACATTCTCTGAAATTGGACTTGAAAACAGTTCCCTCTGGTGTAAAGTAACATTACTAATTTGTTAACGTTCGGTGGGAATTAACTGTGGGATATTAACTTATAGAATGCATTACACATTGGGCTATCTGCTGTGTCCACCGAGGGAAATCGAACACCTTCTTTTAGCGCTGTCCAACTGTGGGACTACTTGTAACGATGTTATTTTATTCTATAATTTTAAAAGAAAAGGGAGGAAATAACAAGAAAAGTGATTTAACTTTGATTTTCTTTGGCGTAAAAAAATCAGAATAAATAATACAGTACAATTACTAGAGAAAATGGGCTAAAATACAAAGTTTTCAAATTACGAAAATCCGATTAAAATACAAATTACGAGCATCTTATGAGACTAATAACATTTCAAGAACTTAATACTAGTTATCTAGATGGGTTATGTCAAATTATCAATTTATGAATGCAGCTATCAGATTGTAGATGGATTATGTGCAGCTAATCTGTAGGTGGATTATGTTTGTAGATATTAAGTTGCAGGTGGATTATGTTTGTAGATATTAAGTTGTAGGTGGATTATGTTTGTAGATATTAAGTTGCAGGTGGTTTATTGTTTGTAGATATTAAGCTGTGGGTAGATTATGTTGTAGATATTAAGCTGTAGGTGGCTTATTGTTGTAGATATTAAGCTGTAGGTGGCTTATTGTTGTAGATATTAAGCTGTGGGTGGCTTATTGTTGTAGATATTAAGCTGTGGGTGGATTATGTTGTAGATATTAAGCTGTAGGTGGCTTATTGTTGTAGATATTAAGCTGTAGGTGGCTTATTGTTGTAGATATTAAGCTGTGGGTGGATTATTGTTGTAGATATTAAGCTGTGGGTGGATTATGTTGTAGCTATCAAGCTGTAGGTGGCTTATTGTTGTAGATATTAAGCTGTAGGTGGCTTATTGTTGTAGATATTAAGCTGTAGGTGGATTATGTTTATAGATATTAAGCTGTGGGTGGATTATATTTGTAAATATTAAGCTGTAGGTGGCTTATTGTTGTATATATTAAGCTGTAGGTGGATAATGTTTATATATATTTAGCTGTGGGTGGATTATATTTGTAAATATTAAGCTGTAGGTGGATTATGTTTATAGATATTAAGCTGTAGGTGGATTATGTTTGTAAATATTAAGTTGTAGGTGGATAATGTTTGTAGATATTAAGCTGTAGGTGGATTATGTTTGTAAATATTAAGTTGTAGGTGGATAATGTTTGTAGATATTAAGCTGTAGGTGGATTATGTTTATAGATATTAAGCTGTAGGTGGATTATGTTTGTAAATATTAAGTTGTAGGTGGATAATGTTTGTAGATATTAAGCTGTAGGTGATTATGTTTGTAAATATTAAGCTGTAGGTGGATTATGTTTGTAAATATTAAGTTGTAGGTGGATAATGTTTGTAGATATTAAGCTGTAGGTGGATTATGTTTGTAGATATTAAGCTGTAGGTGGATTATGTTTGTAGCTGTTCAGATGTGGATGTAGTCACTGTATTGTGAGTTGATTATTGTAATTATGAGATTCTGGGTGGATCTTGCATACTTTTAAATTCCACTCCATCAGATGACAGATTCCTTCGTACTTCTGCACATCAGGATGCGACACATTCCTTCGTACTTCTGCACATCAGGATGCGACACATTCCTTCTTAATTCTGCACCATCATCAGTGCTTCTTACTTTCGGACACTACCAGGTGTGACACGTAATTTCTTACTTCTGCACAACCAGGACTGATGTCTTCCTTCTGACCTCACCAGGACACGGTGCTTCTTTGCTTCCCATATCTGTAATCAGCTTTATGGAATGTAAAGAAGTATGGAGTCCTGGGAGGAAATGTCCACAACTCTGCAGTCACCATTGTGCACGTTCAGATCAGGGTCGTTCCAAGTTACAATTATGAAAGCTATATTTTAGCAGACCCCAAAATATTTTGAACAATATCAGATCTGTTTTATTCGAACAGCCTTTGTTGAGACGTGACCAGTATCGTCGAAGGTATTGTCGTTTGTTTACAGTGTACCCTGTTCATTCAAAGATGATAAGTTTCACCTTCTGTCATATTTGATGGAACTTATCAACTTACAAAATGGCGGCTGTCACGCCGTTGTCGAGATGAGCGCTGATGACCCAATAAAGTTTTTGTACGTTATTACTTACACGGGGACGCTGCCATAGTAACCGATGTGATCCAATAGAACGTTTCGCTACATTATTGTAAGTTGGCACTCGTCACATTGTTATTGTAATGCGTGATGCCGATTCATTGTATATAGCTTATCCGTTGGTAAGCCTTAGTTTTATTTTCTCTTTCTTCCTTTTCGTTTACTTTTACACATCTTTATGTAACCAATTGAAAAATAAAAACTTCTGAACGTATTACCATGTTTTTGTCTGCATTATTTTGAGGTAAAATTGGTCTCACACAATTATCTGAACTTTTCCTATACAACCACGATCATTTCTAGATAAAATAATTACTTGAGTAAAACACTGATAAAATATTGATGACGTTGCAAAAGTAAGCGAGTTTCTTTTCTCAACCAATTATTGGTCAGATTTTGCTAAAAACAGTGTTATACGTGAAACAGTAAGATATATTTTTATAGTCCAAAATAATAATGAACCACCTTTTAAAATTCACAAAGTAATAATGAACCACGTATATGAAACCACAGAGATATAATGAACCACGTATTTGAAACCACAAAGTTATAATGAACCACGCATGATGAATTAACTTTTTTAAAAAGCCAAATCACAAATAAATATTGAAATATTTAACGTGGACGATGCTTGAAAATTTAATAGAATAACTAATCACCATTATTAACTCTCATAAAATCCTTAACCCACACGGTACGGCAAACCCTTAATAACTGTAATAAAAAAAAGTTTTAAATAAAACAAACGTTAACAACAAAACAACTGAATCAAGTTGATGATAATTCTTTTAAACACTAAGGTTTTACAGGATCCTAGATTGTTACTAAAAATATACAGGATCCTACATTGTTACTAAAAATATACAGGATCCTAGATTGTTACTAAAAATATACAGGATCCTAGATCGTTACTAAAAATATACAGGATCCTAGATCGTTACTAAAAATATACAGGATCCTAGATTGTTACTAAACATATACAGGATCCTACATTGTTACTAAAAATATACAGGATCCTAGATTGTTACTAAAAATATACAGGATCCTAGACTGTTACTAATCATTTACAGGATCCTAGATTGTTACTAAACATATACAGGATCCTAGACTGTTACTAAAAATATACAGGATCCTAGATTGTTACTAAACATTTACAGGATCCTACATTGTTACTAAACATTTACAGGATCCTACATTGTTATTAAACATTTACAGGATCCTACATTGTTACTAAAAATATACAGGATCCTACATTGTTACTAAAAATATACAGGATCCTAGATCGTTACTAAAAATATACAGGATCCTAGATT